ATGCTGAGCTCAGGTTTGGGTTCCCACGGCTTTTGATTATTTTGGGAAGCTGCGATTCGCCGCGCTAATTGTGGCGCCCGGAAGGGGGGAGCTTTGGCTTTTCCAGGCAGTCTGCAGCCAAAACCACCCCTCTGTGAGCTGCCGGGGGCTCAGCCCCTCCAGGGCTGTCCCTGTCCTGGGTGATGCTGTGGGGGACCCCAGGAGCTCCCTCAGCACTGGGAATTCCTGGGGAAGCTGTGCCAGCCTGGTTTGGCTTCCAGCAGCTGGCTGGTGTCTGAAAGCACCTCCAGCACTCCTCCAACACTTAGTAACACCGAGTATTCAAGCCTGGTAATTGCTGCTGTGCTCCAGGCCCTGCAGAAGCACCTCCTGAGGCAGGATGTCCAATCCCTGTGCCACTGACATCCCTTGGATGAGGACTCACTCTTTGCGCCGCTGCCAATTTTCTCCTACTCTCGCTTGCTAAAATAATACATCTCAGTCACCTCTTAAATTAGATACAAGCTTACCCCTGTGACAGAGTTCATGAAACCTGTGTGCTGTTTCTGGAGAAGAGACTGGAATATGCTTTTAATTTGGGAAATGCCACAGGTGCCAGGTCAGGCAGCTGGATTTTATACAGCAATTCATAGGAACATGGATGGGTTTGGTTTGGAAGGGACCCTGCAGAGCATCTCGTGGGCTTGTTTTTCCTGAGGTGGTTTGCCAGGAACCCCAATTTTCTTTTCCATAGGCAAAGTTCTGCCTCCAAAGAAGTGCTTTCTCCTTCAGGGATGTGTTACTCATTGCCTATTCCCTGCTTTCAGTGATTTCTCCTTGGCTTTACAGTCTCCCCTCCATCCACACATCTCTGAGTGCAGGGATGGCTCTCAGCAGTGCAGCAAACTGCATCTCCAAGCTTTCCCAGCACACACTTGCCTGCAGTGCCCAGCCTGTGATTCATGGGAAAGCCCTCTGCCATCCCAGCACAAGGAGCTGCAGAGTTTTCCTCCTTTATTACACAGGAGGGTGGGTGCCTGCCCCACAATTCAGCTCTTCCGTTGGAAAAACAACAAAGCTGTGAAGGAATAAATTATTGAGGCCATTAATCAACAGGTGGCAAATGGAAAAGGCAGCCAAAATGGAAGGGAATTGTCTGTGGGCAAAATAGAGTCATTTTAAATGGGCACTAAGGTCTGTAATTGAAGGTGCAAGAGTGCAAAACTTAACGCTGGAAGGAAACCAGAAAATGGGTGTGCTTATGGTTGGGCACTTATGAAGGGAGTTTTATTGCACATTACCAAATTTTATAATGTCTGCATTCTGTCACTGCTAAGTGTCCAGAATTAATATTCTTTAATGTGTAAAATAAAAGTGTGTTTAATATGCCAGTATTAAATAGGCCCATGGCAAAGTCAAGTCTCCGAAGGATATTTCTCCTTTAGCACTCAGTGTTTTGTCAAAGAACATTTTATGAAAAAATCCCACACTAAGTGGGCTGCTGGTAAATGCTTCCCTTCCCTTCCCTCAGAGCTCAATTCCTCAGGGTTGTCTTTGTGAAAGGGGGCAAAAAAAGAGTTTGTCATTTCCAAAGGGCTGTGGATGGAAACAGCCTGGACAGGTCCGTGTGCAGGTGGGTCAGCACCTGGCACTGGGAAAGGGGGATGGATTGCCCAGCCCCTGCTTTCCTGACAGAACTGGAGCTGTCAGACTGTCAGAGCTGGAAAAGCACTGAAGTCTTGGTGGAGATTTTCTAAACGCTGCTGAGCCTTCCCAGAGGACTCCCAGTTCTCTTCCTTTGGGATTTCCCTATAAACAAGCATCCTAATTTACAGCATTTCCCTGATTCCTGCCTCTGTTCTAGGCCCACTCATGGGCTCACCCTGCACAATTCACCTCATTCCCTGATTAATGCTTGGCTCTGTGAGTGTGCCAAGCCCTAAGTAAAAGCACTTGGGCTTTATAAAAATATGGGGCTATTTTGGAAAAAAGGATCTGCAGCACTACAGGAATGGTGATTTAGGATCCACACTAAAACCTTCAGCTGCCAAGCAGGCTCCTGTGGCAATAAAAATCCTCTGTTCTACAGATGTTTTGCACACCAGAGCCAAAACACTGTCACAGGATGTCACCAATATAAAACATGTCTGTCAGAATTTTATGTCTTGGCTTGTCCCACGTGGGAGGGGGGAAAAATGGCTTGTCATGAGCTGGGCTTTAGAAAGAATGTGACAACGTGGTCTGTGTTAAAGCCCTGACACGACACCTTCCCACAGCAATCCAGGCAAGCCTCCAAATGCTTCTTATTCTGCCACTTCTCTAACGTGGAGGGAAATAAAAGAGGCTTCCTGGCTGTGCATCTGACCTTTGGAGAAATGAGTTTTAGTGTTGTGGTGAGGTGCTTGTCCCTTCTGATTGTCCTGGCAGCTTTGGATTGCCTCCCTGTACCTTGCTAAGCTTTCATCCCCAGGTTTGGGATCACATCTTTTAAGAAGATTGAAGGGAATTAAGTCCCCAGGCTCAAGACTCCTTTTCCAAGCAGCTGACAAATTGTAGTGTGTTCTGTGTGGCAGTTACTGGAAATAGCTGAAGTCTGCAGAGGGTGAGCCAGGATCCATAAAAATGTTCTTCCTAGTTAGGATGACAATTTATAATTTAGCTGCAGCTCCCAGCCTATTGATGGCAGATTTACTCACAATGCCATCCAGCTCTGCCGTGCTTTATGACCAAGGAGCTTCCCTGCATTGGAACAGAGTGAAAACTGTGGGAATGATGCAGGAAAACCACACCAGAGAGATCCTCAGCACTCTCCTAGAACACATTTTGTCCTAATTAACTAAAGGTAATAACCTAAAATAGGGACAACCTAAAAGTAATTGAAGCCTGTGTGGTCTGGGCAATGAAAGGTGATGCTTCCCTGGGAGATGTGCAGTTTTCCTCTGTGGAAGCAGGGAGCAGAAGTTAGCCAAGGAAGAAACTCAGCTGGGACCGAAATTTGCAGGTGAATGAATAAATGCTGCTGATGAGAAGTAGCCCCGAGGAGTGTGGGTGAGTAGGAAAGCACAAAGGGGAAGCAGGCTACAGCACTTCTTGTAGGAAGGCAGAAACCCCAAAATCTAAGACACAAAACTTTCTCCCAAAATAAAAAAGGACCCAAAAGGTGATTTTGTGCTTTTTTTTCTTTTTCTAGATCAGATTGCTTATGAAATATTAAATGCTTCACGTTGCAGAACAATTTCTCTTTGCTTACTTGGTGTGATTACACAAAGCTCTGCAGGAAGATGTGCTGCAGCTACAATGTCATTAAATAACATTTTCTGTTGGTGGGTCTATTCTCTTCTTCACCAGAATATTTAATTGCCACTGATGCTGATGGGAATTGAGAGCCTTTGGAGGGCGTGCAGATTTAATGTGGAGATGATTCCCCAGCTAAGGCAAACACAGTGAAACACACACACACAGAGTTAAAGAAAAACTGTAAATAAATATCTGCCTCAGAGCAAGTTCTGAAAAAACTCATCTCCTCCAACATCCAGCTCTTCCTTGTAGCTCAGCTCCTCCTCTGAAGGGAAGCTAAATTACCAACAGGGGATGTGTGTTACAGATAAGTTCTGCAAGGCAGCAGAACATCCACCAGGCTCTGAGAAGTGGCAAGTACAAAGTCAATTGAATGGCATGCAGTTATCTCCCAAATTATAAACCACACTTTTCCACCCCCACAGCATTTTATGGAATTGCAATTCAGATTGAGAAATCCCACTCCACCCGCTGCTGACCTTCTCCTGGCTGAAAATAACCTCTGAGAAAAGCCCAGGATGACTCCAAGTGCCAGCCCATAAACCCCCCTGACCCTCTGTGACGGAGACAGATTTGTGTATTAACGTGTCACATTCCCAGTCCCAAAGAAAATAGGAGCACTATAAAACTGGCCCAGGTCTGCTTGGAGGGAGCTGCAGCAGGACAAACAGCTTTGCAAACCCAAAGTGGCAGATCTGGCTTTATTGAGATGTTTTAAATGTTTTTCTCCGCACCCAGCAGCTGCAGCTGACTGAAATGCAAATATCAATCTGGTTTCCTGGGAAGTCTTTAATTCCTCATGAGCAGAAATAGGAGCATAAATTATATGCAGGATTCATTTCTGCCATTCTATAAATCAGTTGCTGACTGGGATTTGGATGTTTACAGGCCTGACAAAGAGCTCCTCTACTCTCCTCTCCTCTCCTTGGACATAGGAAAATCTCTTTACACCAACAGATCACCTCACAAGTTAGTTCAGCTTTCCAGGTTCTAGGACAGAATAGTCTGATTCATGAATTTTCTGGAAGTAGTAAAATTTTTCAAGCATTCTGCTGTTGTTTTATTAAATAAGGCTGAGGCAGGAAATTTGCCCAGACCTGGAAAGCCCGATGGAAAGCCAGCTGATTTTTAGGGCCTACAAGTATAGGGGCCCACAAGTTTGGGGTTTTTTGTTTTCCTGGGGTTTTTTAACAGATTTAGACTCCTAAAATACTTTGGAAATTTAGTTACCTTTGAAAATTTGTCTACAAGTACCAGGCAGACCTGGAAAAAAAGGGCAAAACTTGTGGTGAGATATCTGTAATGTCATTTCTAATTTGCTCAACGATAGAAGCTCTAGGGAGGTGGAATTAGCTATTCTGGAAGGTTTGTAGAACGAATCCTCGACTCTGCCATGATTTAACCTCATTCTGACACAGATCAGTAAAACAAATGAATATTTTATAATAAAAAATAGAAGCATTACGAGATTTTAGGGAGAGAAAAAAAGCTGTCTCATACTTCTGAGTGCACAGTTTGAGGAATTTGCAGTAGCTGGAATCAGGGCCTTTCAAGATTCCTCAAACGGAGCAGAAGAAAATTATTTTTAATTAGGGCAAGAGCTTGCTTGGGGCTGCGTGTCCGTGTCCTGTGGGGTGCAGGGAGGCCAAACTTAGGGAGGGCAGGCCCAGGTTTTGGCTCAGGAAATGGGAAGGAGGGTTTAAGGGAAGAAGCAAAGCTCTGTCTGTAATACACCATCAGAAGTGTTTATTCTGTGGCAGTGAGAAGAACCCATAATCAGCTGTGAGCACATCAATTATTTAAAACAATTCCAGCAAGTACAGCCCTTGACCTCCCTCACCATCCCCACCCCCCCAACAAAAATACTTTGAGTGATCAAAATTCATTTTCATTCCTTCTGCTTCAACACCAAGTATTTGTTCAACTGGATTTGCTGTCGTCATGTAGGAGGGGAAAGAAAAATTTAAGTAAAAAGAGCTCGGGCAAGACAGTGAAATTTTTCCTCAGCTCTATCAACAGGATGTCCTTTGCTCTGAAATACTGCAGAAATCACAGAAGTCTTATAAAAGTTATCCAGTCACTGGAGCACTGAACACTTCAGAATCTGTGTCGCTTGCAAATCCTGATTTCTTTTTGGCAGCTTTTCTAGATAGGAGAGTGATGGAGGAATCGAGTCCGTGGGCAGGTCCACACCTTTGCAGTCACACTAAAAGGATGAACTGGAACACAAAAAGAGAAATAAAGACAGTGTAAGAAATGTTGTCTGACAGGGAAACTCCTGTCCCATGAACACAGAGTTATGCAGAAGAAACCCCAAACTTAGCCTTAGTTCAGTACAATCAAATCAGCCATTGGTCACTGCTGAATTATGTCCCTGCTTGACACAGATGTCGCACACTCACATTCCTGTTAGAAACATCAATTTTAAGCCTGTTATGAACATAATTTGTTACTGATGGGAGCTAAATGAGTGGTTGATGTCTCCCTTTGGGTGGCCCAGCAGAGGGGCAAGGAGCAGCCCACCCCTGGCTGTTCAGGGGATGGAAGATCCCCCATGTCCCTGCCTCTTGTGGGGAGGGGGAGAGGAGCAAACACAGCTCCTGGTTCTGCATTCAGGGCACATCCCCACCGCCTCATTACCATCAGGGAGCCCGGACCCATCCGTGCTTTCCTTACACAACCTCCTCCTCCCCCGGGAATTTCTAATTCCGCCATGGTAATTTGTCTGGGGGACTCTCGGCAGCCTGCTCCCCTGTCAGAGAGGAAATTTGCTTTATTAGACAACATCTCGGAGCAGTTAATCCTGCAACTTTATTTTAGACCTTGAGAGGTCAATGCATAATTTAGAGGGGTTTGGATTCCGTTCTGATCGCTTCTTGCTCAAAGACAACCTCAGTTACAGGAGCTCAGCTTTCCCAAAGCTCTGCTTTCATCGTCAGCTCTGCTGCCACGGGCCCTGCCTGCCCCACAGGGTCACATCCTGGAATTCCCATTTCCAGGGCCATGGGAGCAAACTGCAGCTGCAGCCCCCCTGCAGCACTGTGAAACTTCAATCAAAGCCTGCAGCACAGGAATCCCGCACCTTACAGACACGGTCTTGCCCAGCCACAGCCCTCTTGCCTTCAATAATTGTTGCATTTTTGCTGCCTTTGTTTTGCTGGTCTGTAAGAATCCCAACAACGATGTGGTCAGTGACATAACAAGGCATAAGAAAGCAAAGGAGATCATTTCCAGGCAGTTCACAAAGGCTCCTCTGTCACATGGCGGTGCAGAGAAATTCTGTGCTGGTGGGTCCTGTTACAAGTGGAGGGAGTGAACCTGGAAATAATGTTATTTCATCTTTGTGACACATAAAGAAGTCAATTCAAATGTCAGTTCTCAATGGAACACGAGATCTCTCAGAAATGTGAGGCCCATTCAAACCTAAAAAATAAGAGTGAGGTATAAAAATATCTGGTGGATTTTCAGGACCTGGTGCCATTACAGAGCAGAGAGCTGGAGAGATGGACTTCTTTCTAAACAAAAAGTTAAGAACAAGAAATAATTTTCTGGATTCTCTAGTGTTTGTCTCATTTCCTTGAAAAGCTCCTGAAACCAGTGTCATGTTTATTCAGCTTTTAATCAAGAGTGAGGCAGTCCTCTTCTAATTAAAGCTGAGCCAGTTTTAATGCATTTTAACAGCTGTAATTCTATCAAATGCTCCATTTAGATACTCTTCTCTGACCAAGCTTTACTTATCCAGAGCTCTCATTATTCCAGTCATCTGTGGTGTTGCCAGTGCTCTAAGATAAGGGAGTGTGGGTTTCTATGTTACATACAAATACACGTGTTTACCACTTGCAGGTCTGAGGAATGACCTCCATCCAGCACAAGTAAGGAGTTTCTGCCCTGCTTTGCTGACCTTGCCCCCACAGCTCTGAGAACCAAGCACAGTTCATGTCACATTTCTGGTAAACCACCCTTTCATTTCCCTGGGGGCACAAAAAGCAGACATTTAAAAGCGAGTGTGTGTCTGATCTAGAGATACACAAGGCAGATATTCAGGAGCGAAGATACGTATGTCATACATGTTTGTGTGATACACAGGGGCTGTGTTTGTCCTTTCAACTCCATAAAAGTCTACAGGAAGGCTTTGTGCTCCAGCACACTGTTTGTGTCCAGAACACTGAAAAAGGTAATTAAAGGTACTTTTCTGCACCAGTTTGCAGACTGAGACCCTGAATGACTCACCCAGTGTCTGAGGTTTCAAAAGCAGACAGGTCAATACCAGGCCGCAGGCAGCGCCCGCTGCACGGCCTGCTGGAACACGAAAGGATTTGCAACCCGAAGCGGGAAAAGCCCAGCGCATGACCAACCTCCGAGTGCAGCGAGACACGTTCCCATCCTCTGCCCGCGTCCGGACAGCCTGCGGTGTG